GATAAAGGAAACACCTCATGCGAAAAAAATTACCAAAGTCGTATCCAAGAGGACATAAATTTTATCAAATAAGGTAAACTAATACTTACATGTTTACGCAGAAACAAACCTTAAATCAAATAAATTCACTGAGACTTGAAAAAAATGCATCACTTTAGCATATTAGCAGTGTTAGATAAGAGCATTAACTCACAATCTGCAAAAAGACAATTTCACGCACTTGAAAATTCTCACATAGTAGAAATCACGATGAAGAACTGACTAAGAACTGTGCAGAATGGTATTCCAAAAAGCATATTCAATAGATTTTAAACATCGTCAAAATAGCAGAGCAGCAAACCTAATATCTCCTCATAAGAATCACAACATGCGAGCAGAAACCGAGGCCCTAACAGTCAACTTCAAATACTACTTGGCAACTGAACGAGGTTTATTATTCTGAGATGAATAGTGCCAACTTAGCTTGTGTAGAAAAATTGCCAGGAAGAAAAAACCGAATCTTCATAGATGCATAATATACACGAACCTTAACTTGCTCAATGCATATAAAACCACTCGAAGATTTGACAAGCATCGATCAAAAACAAAGAGATCTTCAAGGCCACAATAAAGAATACTACTCACTTGATCAGCATAAGCAGCACGTTCCACACTGCATTATCTGCCCAACTAAAAGCACAAACAATTCCAGTGCAGAATAACAGAAAACCCGATAGAAATAACATCCCAACACTTTTACGACTGCTTTCAAAATCTAAGGCAAGAAACAAAACTCGGTGCAGAAACCTTGTCAAGAAACCAAAGAACACCATACATGAAGACACAAGGCGGGGTCTTATTGCAAGTCATGATCTCATATTTTGTAGTGAAGTACACGAGTCAAGTTAATATTATAAAACACTCTCCAGGAATCACATAAATTCATGATAGGGATTAACTGAAGACTACCAAAGAAAAATAAAGTAAATAAAAAATCACAGCTCCGAAAAAGCGAGCCACCCAAAGATAAAAAGTTAATAACCAACAAGAAAAAGAAGAGTCAAAATTCTCGACATATAGTAGGCAAAAGTTAAGTTATGAGTAAGATTTGCAGCCTCTAGTTTAAAGCCCAAGAGAATATCAATGTCATCATTCGTTTTAGTAGATTACTTAGAAAAGTGAATTTTCGGACAAATAGAGACATGAGAAACTAGTGAACCTAGGATGGCATGTTAATTAAGAAGAATGCAAGAAACAGATTTAAAATGCCACTATTGTGTCATCTTTATTTCCCGACATTGCCACATCAAAATCACCGCAGAAAAGCACAATCAAACCCTCTCAGAAAAGCACAATCAAACCCTTTCGCAAAGAGGAGAAATTGTTAAACCGGCGAAAAGTCGAAAACAGCCAAATAAAACTTAACAGAACAACAATAAGACAGGAATCGGATAAGAGAGGAAAAAAAAAATTATACAACTGAGAAGTACAAACCTTTTGAAATTTCAGCTCCAAAAATTTCAGAATTTAAAAATTAAGAACACTTATAAAAATCAATAACACGAATTCCACCTATGACCAGTTGTAAATCGCCAAAGGGGGAAAAAAAAAAACAAGAGAACGAGATCTAAGAAAACAAAGATTACGAGCTATTATGATTTAGAACTTATTCAACATCGATTTCATGCATGACGCAAAGACTAAAATTCCATTTCTAACGAATGTTTAGAAAAATGGGAAAATTTCACAGTTAGATTTTCTGTGCCCTCCTCCTTTACCCGGGCTTGGGACCGGCTGTGTTGAGCAAATAAAATATTGCAGGCACAGGCGGAGTTACAAGAATAAACCAATATACAACTACCAACACTAAAAACACACATAATCACACATAGATAAAAGCAAGCAAATTGAACATACCATTCCAGACAACAAATATTAATTAAGGCTGAGAAATATTTTGATTCATATACCATAGTTTTTATGAATTTTCATACTGGCAAACAAGTAGGTCAAATTTATAAGTAATTTAGTTAATCACTAAGCAGCTAAAAATCACAAAGGTTAGTAGATAGGATAAAAGCTTTACTAGTAAAAACATTCTTACTCTTCTGAATCATTCATTTCCCTCTTTTTCTTTTAATTATTGTGGAAAACATTACTGACAAAGGAAACAAATTACCAAAGTCGTATCAGAGACAAATCCAAGAGGAAACAAATTTTATCAAATAAGGTAACTACTAGATTAATTAGAAAAGTGAATTTTCGGACAAATAGAGACTTGAGAAACTAGTGAACCTAGGATGGCATGTTAACTAAGAAGAATGCAAGAAACAGATTTAAAATGCCACTATTCAAAATAAACTTTATATTCGGCAAGTTGATGGACAGATAAAATCTAGCTGATGAGTGATGATCATCCATAGATTATAAATTATAATTTAAATAATCCTATTCAAGATTAGAAAAAGTTGATAAATTAAAGATTATAGATTATTCAATTATAAAAGGAGCGTAGAGCTATATATGTCATTATGATTACCTTAATTCCTGCTAAGAAAATTCAAGAAGCTAAACGTAATTGGATTTGCCTATTGTTGAAGCTATCAAACAGAACTTGCAGATGAAACAGGCAACTAGTTGTTCAATATGCATATTCAGATATTTGCTAATGACAGTGTGCAGAAAAATGAAAAAAGCCGACGATCATTTCTGAGATAACTATATAATCTCCATCTTTTTTTTTCGCATAATAAAGTTAACCAGGATTCATCAGTGTGTCCTATTAACTAATCTTGGCAAGTACGAATGATATCAAAATTTGCTTTCAAAGGCCAAAAAAATGGTTCGGTTACGGGAGATATGTCCAAAAACAGCACTTTGATGATATAATTACTAATTAATCAAACCAGTTTATGCAGAAATAGGACAGACAAATGATAAACTTGCAGCCAAGAAACAGATTGTCATCAACATTAAAAAAACAGAAAGCACGTCAGGTATAAAGCACGTCAGGTAAAACCGAAAGCAACCCATATCTAACAAACACAACCCAGAAACTCCGACGAACAAACTGCCGACAACAGAAATCACTAAAGAATTGGAGGATGTTCAATTAAACGAGTCTTGGCAATCCATTAAGAAGACGTAAGCTTAAAAGGCCTGAAAATATAATACAAACCGAATTTCACCTCCACAAGTATGCTGGTTAATGAAGTGATGATGAACGGTCACAAAATTCCGATGACAGAGAATCGATGGAGAGCCGTAATCATATGATAGGGCCAATCCCATCTAGGTTCTGCAAACAAAGGCGAGCTTAATGCATAATCATACATTCCAATTCAGCCTATTTTACCACTGCAACCGGATTTGCAAAAAAGGCAAGCAAGTCCCATAACCAGAAAAAAACATAGTGATCAGACAAACAAATAACTAAAATCAACAGTAAGAAGGAAGAACAGATTGCCTGAACCTGGACAAAACTTTAAACTCAGATCCAACTGCATTTAATAAACAAATCACAAAATAGATCAACTTCCCCATTATGTCGTGATCCAATCAGTAGCTAAGACTCTAAACTTCAAATCCGACTGCATGCAAAGTAAAGACAAAATGAAACAGACCCAAGTAGCTTGCGATAAGACTCTAAAAACCTCAGATCGAACTGCAATTTGAAGGACAAATCAGATTTAAAAATCCATGTAGGAAACTTTATCACTAATATGAAATAAATATATCACTAATTATATTATCTTCCCCATTATGTCTCGATCTGTTGGCAGCTTTTAAGATAAAACTCTAAAATGAAACAGACGGGTAAAAAAACACAGAAGGTAAATAAATCATCAATTAGATCTTTCCCTTTACGTCCCGACCCAAGTAGCTTCCGATAAGACTCTAAAAACTCAAACCGAACGTCCGATAAGAATATATAACTTAGCATCACTATCGTACTCAACACAGTCCAAACCATCATATGTAGCAACCGAACTTGTCAAAACATAACATGAAATTGTCACACACGCAAATTTTACGAAAAGACGGAGATGTGCTCAAAGCTCGAAACACTTCCCTTTTCCAGAAATCCTATGACCACGCAGAAAACAAATCCAACCCCAGCCAACAACCAGACCACGATGTGAAAGCATGAACCAAATCCAAACCACGGGATATTAAATTGCATATTAAGCAAACATCATAAATACCTTGTCGGATCAATTATCATTCAAAGAAGTCCTAGACAGTACATCAGAGAAAAGAAACAAATGACAGACGCTCCCAATAATTAGAATGTAAGACCAGTAAAACCATCCAAATCAGAACCACCAACAGAAAGGCACGAAACATAACAATTATATTATGTTTTATATCTTAGTAATTCGACAAATTAAGAATCCATCTGGAACGTCAACTAAAACCTATGATACTAAAATTAATTAAATTATAATATTTTAGTTGATATTTGACAAATTTAAAATACAGTTGATGATAAAATTATCTTTTGATTGCATTGGATTGAAACTAGCCATTTCGGGTAATAACAATAATAATAAAACTTACACTACCAATAATATAAAGGGGAAATGTAGGATACCTCCCTAGTTTTTAAAATATATAGGGATAGGTCTTATGAATTTTTCTTTCCTAGTCAAAAACCCAAATTATAATCTTAATTTGATAGACCCCTAGACAAATTAAAATACTCGTGTTGCCCTTTAAGTTACAATTTAAAACCCTAACCTTTTCTCTCACTCCCTCCCACATTTTTTTCCAGCCGTCATTTCTCCCTCTCCCACTCTCTCTTCATCTCTTTCTTTCTCTCTCTCCTCTTTCTCTCTCTCTCTTCATCTCTCACTCTTAACTCTCTCTTTGTGGCTGGCCACAGCCCTCCGCGGCTGCTCCCCCACCTCCTTGCTCCGCCGCTCCCCTCACCTCCTTGCGTTGCCGCCGTCGCCGCTCCACCACCGCCTTGTGCCGCTGCTCCGCCGCCGCCTTGCGCCGCTGCTCTGCCACAGCCTTGTGCCGGCCGTCGTTGCTCAATTCCACCGCCTTGAACTCCGTATTAAACCATCCACTTCACCTTTTTAAGTTATTTTTTTTTAATTTACGAATGTCCATCCATTTTTAATTTATTTTTTTAAGCTCTGAATTCTTACTATTTCACCTTTTTTAATTGTTTTTTTTTTTTTGATGAAAACCAAATGAATTCGAAAACATAGTAGATCTGGTTTTTTATTTATAAATGCAGTAAATATATATAAATCAAACACCACCGGTTCCAGATCTGAAATTCACCATTAGATCTGACTACAAATTGTCGAATCACGATTTAAAAATTTCGAATTCAGTTAGTTTTCATCAAAAAAAAAAAACAATTAAAAAAGGTGAAATAGTAATAATTCAGAGTTTAAAAAAATAAATTAAAAATACATGGACATTCATAAATTAAAAAAGTAACTTAAAAAGGTGAAGTGGATGGTTTAATACGGTATTCAAGGCGGTGGGAGGAGCAACGACGGTCGGCACAAGGACGTGGCGGAGCAGCGGCGCAAGGCGGCGGCGGAGCAGCGGCACAAGGCGGCGGCGGAGCAGCGACGGCGGCAGCACAAGGAGGTGAGGGGAGCGGCGGCGCAAGGTGGGGAGCAGCCGCGATGGCGGAGGGCTCTGGGCAACCACAGAGAGAGAGACAGGTAGAGAGAGAGATGAAGAGAAAGAAAAAAAGAGAATAGAGAATACATCAACTTCCCCATTATGTCGTGATCCAATCAGTAGCTAAGACTCAAATCCAACTGCATGCAGAGTTAAGACAAAACGAAACAGACGGGTAAATAAATCATCAATTAGATCTCGAGATGCAGACCACAACCAACGACTATAATGCCCCCGATAAACTCATTTTAAGCAGTAAGCAAGGCATGAAGCAAACAAAGGGGCATTTTCGTAATAGTGAGGAGGTTCCGTGTATGGATCGGGAAATAAAGAAAGCTTGTCATAATTCTGAGCAGGGGCTGTTTCCGTGTGTAACTTGTGGGATTTTGTGTTTCGCGTGTGTTGCTATTGTTCGGGTGATTGCAGCATATTTAATTTTTGGGAAGTGAGTCATAATGAACACAATGACATCAGAGACGCAACGCAAAGCTTTCTTCTTCTTCAGGTATATTTCGTTGTGAAATCTTTTTGCTTTCGTATATATAGGATAAAATGATATGGCTGTACTTACGATTGGAAGTCTCGATTTTGCAGCTTTGATGCTTAGAAAGACACAGTGGACGTGTTTTTGACGCTGGTGGAAAAAGAAAACAGTGTAGGTGTGGTTTCCGAAAAGGCACAAAAAGCGCCCTCGTCACTTGGCCTATTAGCTTTAACATATGCCGATTCATCGGACTCTGAAGAGAAGGAAATTGTAAAATCGATAGCCCTGAAAATGACACTGAGTTACGAATGTCTGATTCTAATACGAAATCCTATGACCGCGCAGAATTAAAAAAAAAAAAAAAAAAATCAAACCAGCCAGACCAAGATGGGAAAACATGAACCAAATCCAAACCACATGATATTAAATTTCATATCGCTCCATAAGCAAACATCATAAATACCTTGCCAGATCAATTATCATTCAAAGAAGACCACAGAGAAAAGAAACATATAACAGAGGCTGCCGATAATTAGACTGTAAGAACAGCAAAACCACCCAAATCAGAACCACAAACAGAAAGGCATTTAGATAAAAACAAGTTAGATTATATTCCCCATTAAGTATCCATCACATCTGTAGATTTACATAAGAGACTCTGAAGCTCATTTTCCAACGGTTTGCTCAAGAAATAGTAAAATCAGATTCATCATTCCTATAAAACATGTAGTTTCAGATAGTAAAATTGAACTACGACGCTTCCCTTGAGCCACAAAATTAAATTATCTTCCCGCTTAGTCAATAGGACAGAGTAATGCAGATGGAACTAGAAAAACTTTCTTTAAAACCCAAAAGAGAAGGCCCACCGTCATTTTTGTTGCAAATGTCTGCAGACAGAAAGGAAAAGAATAACAGAGGATTTGAAGATTGATTTGAAAGCAATATTACCGTATAAAGTAGTAATAATATGAAAATTGGACGAAAAGGTGATTGTTGAGGGAGACATAAGAAACTACTATCCCAAAGTACCGGAGACGCATCTCACTAAGCCACTACCTGCCGATCAAAAACAAAATTTGAAACCAGAAGCAAGAAATTTTTCATGAGATGAATAAATCAGAAATTAAATTATCTTCCCCATCATGTCGTCCGTTAATAAGATCCAACCTCATATCAAAGATGGAACTACCGCAGACCCCCTAAAATACACAAACAAAAGTTACCATGGGAGGACATCCACCATCAATTTTCTAGAGGAAAAGCAAAGCCGGGATAAGGAGAAAATAGTCGAACTTGAAGCTGTTTCTTCTACCAGAAAATCATATTTTAACCATTTCCTTCGAAACTATGCCATCTTATAAAAGAAAACCAAACCAACGGACAAGAGAGGTTACATTTGAAGATTGAATGAGAAGGATTATGACTACATAAGAATATACAATCTCGAACTGACAAAAACCCACTGATCAACATTTTACACGATCAGAAACAAAAGAAAGATTTTAAGTTTAATTAAATCACAAAATAAATTATCTTCCCATCATCAGATCCAACGGAGATCTCTAGCTTAAGCAATTGGCGATCCGCATTATCCAGTTGTACATAAGCTCTAGTAAAATGAGATCCATCGTTCTAGTTGCACAGTTAGCTTAGCACCATAAAATAAAGATGAAACACAACCTTAACAAACAGAGAGTACCACATAGTAATAAAGCAGTAAAGGGATTTAAAAGACACATTAGAAAAACTTTCATATAAAGTCAGAAAAATAGAGAAAGAGAGAGAGAGAGAGAGAACAATATCTGGAACTGACGGGTGTCTCAGAGGCAGAGCTGAGTTCCTACTTTATATATCATATTGCACATATATATATCATAAGGAGAATCAAGTCTTAATCAGCAGAATCAAAGCATCCGGTTCTCAGCCAAAATATGTTATCTGAACCGACCGACCTCACAACAACACAATTGTCATATAAACACAATTACCACAACATACTCGTATTCAAAGCGCTTTTCTTCGACAAAGAATCTTTTTCGTAAGAGAATCAAATCTTAATCAGCCGGACAGATGAGACAAATAGAGAATCATGTATATGCAGATCAAAAGGACGAAACTGCTTAGAATTGTCATATAAACACAATTAGGACAACGAGGAGAACATACTCGTATTCAAATCCCTTTCTTCGACAAAGAATCCAATCGCATAACGCAGGATAATAAACCACCACTTGTCGATGCATAGCCGGATCAAAATCAAATCACAATCAGACTACGGCGGCGGCGAATCACAAAATAACCCAAATAATATCAAATCAGGACCAATAATCAGAATCATTGAATTGAATTGCGCAGGTTTCATAGCGACGATGATACATATAATCTACAAAAACGGAGACGACAAATAAACAGATCCAATAATCAAATAAAACTCTAATCCGCAAAGAACCAAACAAATACGAGAGACGAAGGAATGAGTTACGATTGAGGGGGATGGGTATATATAGAAGAGTCGGTGATGAGTGGACGGCTGAGATTAATCTCATCCGAGGGTCAGAAAAGAGTGCGTATTCTTCTCGGTTACGCATATTACTATTTTTTTTTTTTTTTTTTTTTTTATATAATTATTTTCTAAATATGAGTCCATCTTCACACGTTTCTTGAATTTCATTCAAACTTGGGCTGTAAGTTTTTTTTTTTTTTTTTTTTTGATTAATATGGTAAATAAGTTATTAATTTTACTCAAAAAAAAAAAAAGTTATTAATTAATAAACGATGAGGTTCTATTTGAAATTTGACTTTTTTAATGAACTTTAAGATGAAATAAGAGCAACTTCAACCGGATTATTAAATGAGTTATCAAACTCCTTAACCTCCATTTGACTTCCAAAATTAAAAAAACTATCTTTTCCAATGGGGTTATAAAAATAGAGTTTTATTTTAATAATTTATCCATCCGAACCGAAAGTAAAAATACATCCCAAATAAATAAGGGGCTCTTTGATATAACCTCTCAATACTTATTTTAATAGGAAAAGGCCAAAACTATTTTGCACAATTTGAGAAACATTCACTCCAAATTTCAGCCACCCATTTTTCCATTTATGTGCCTCCACCTTACACACTATCCCCATGACCCATCAGCCGTGTTTTTTTTTTTTAATATTAATTTATTATTAATTATTAAAAAAATTATTTTTTTTTAATTTTTTTTTCGTTTTTTAACTTTTTTCTCCATCAGGTATATTAATCGACTATGATGAGTCGATTAAGGAACCGACTACTAAAAATAACAAATCACAACTACAAAAAATGCAAAGTCAACTATATTTTACAAAAACGAACAATATACAAACATTATAATTGATTTATACAATTGGAATCAATAAACACAAAATCCAAAAAAAATATATTAAAAATTGGAGTCAATGAAGCATATTAATCGACTATGATGTGAAGCATAGTCGATTAAGAATCTGCTACTAAAAATAACAAATCACAACTACGAAAAAATGCAAAATCAACTATATATTACAAAAATAAAAAATATACAAATATTATAAATGATTTATACAATTGGAATCAATAAACAAAAAAAATCTAAAAAAATAAATAAATAAATAAAAATGGAGTCGATCAACCTTAATCGACTACCGGAGCATAGTCGATTAGCTTAATCGACTATGAACATGTACATAGTCGATTAAGGTTTCTGCGTGCGCGAAATTCTCTACACGCACCGTCCTCCGCTCGATCCACCAAAAAACCCTAAATCTGCCTCACCATCGTCACCACACCGTCTCTACAACACACTATTCAACCAATCCCTAACAAGAATAAAATAAAAAATTAGCATTTCAAAAATAAATATATATATATATATATATATATATATATATATATATATATATATATATATATATATATATATATATATATATATATATATATATATATATATATATATATATATATATATATATATATATATATATATATATATATATATATATATATATATATATATATATATATATATATATATATATATATATATATATATATTATTAACTAAATAGTAAATAGTCTATAATAATAAATATATCTAGTATCTAAATAGAAACAAATCTATATTACTTAAATAATTCATAATAATATAAAATATTATAATAATAATAATAGAAAAAATAAAAAATATATATAACTAGAATTCATTATTTATTTTATAATTTTTTTTTATTTTCCTATGAATAATTTTTAATAAAAAATAAAATGATTTTAATAAATAAAAAAAAAAAATTAAATAAGCTCGAGCTCGAGCCAAAAAAATTTGGCTCGATGAGCTCGAGCTCGAGCTGGCCAAAAGAGCCGAGCTTGGCTCGTTCCCACCTCTAAGTGGGGTTATTAAATAGAGATCTATTTTGATAACTCATCCATCTGAAAGTAAAAATACATCCCAAATTAATAATTATCAAATATTCTCCTAAAAAATAGGAGCACGTGAAAAAAAAAACCTCAACAAAATTGAGTTTTCTTTTCTTTACGTAAAAATCTCAATAGAATAAAATTAAATTCTCTACCTATTCAACAAATTTCCATTGGAAAAAAATCTCAAAAATATCTCAACACAAGTTTTTTTTCTCTAGAGCTTAGGCAAAGTTCCACGAAAAAAAAAAATCTCTCTCTCTCTCTCTCTCTCTCTCTCAAAAAAAAGAAAAAAA